TTGCCACAATCCCTTCTCCTCCCTTCTCCTCTCAGGATTTTGGGCATGTATACATATGCACCCAGAGTAAGTTTTAAGTCACTGGGTCCAGGACTCGAACCTCAGTCGACTATGTGGGAGTCCAGTGATGTAACCATTATGCCATCTGCTGGTTCCAGGTCCTTCAGTTTTTAGTATTTTCTGAAACATTATTTTGTTAAGATGGTAATTTTAATGTATTAAAAGAAAAACTGTAATTTAATAGCAATTTAATAGCAACTGTAACTTAATAGCAATTTTCTCTCAATTAGAGGGCTAATGTGTTGTACCTATTTAATAACTCTTCTAATGTAGACAAATTTTTAGCTTCTAAATATCCTGAAATTATGTCTCATCAAAACAAAGGTTTAAAAGTGGAGTAACTATTAGATTTAAATAAAAAAGAAACTAGATACAAGGTCACTAATCATCGTGGCGTTTATGCTAATTTTGGCATTCAGTTCTTGGGGAGAGCCACAGCTACTCCTTTTTTTTTCTTTCTGAGTTTGGTTTTTTTTTTTTTTTGGCTGTAGGATGTGTGTGCTCTCTAGAGAGAAAGAGATGGATGGAGAGAGAGAAAGTAAGAACTCACCCCTGGGGGGCGGGGATGGCCATCCCACACTTCTTTCTCCTCCATTGTTCTCTAAGGATTTGGGGTATACACGCACATGCACCTGGCATGAGTTTGAAGCTACCAGGTTTGGGACTTGAATTGTAATCAGCCATGTGGGAGTCCAGCGCCCTAACCATTATGCCATCTACTGGCCCCCGGCCACAGTAATTCTTAAAATGCAGTGAAAGACTTCTGACAATAAAGCATTCTTCTACAATCAGAATTTTTCTAGTTTAAAATTATTTTCTCAGAGAAGGAAGGAGCAACAGGGAGACCCTCCAATTCCAGAGATAGACGGAAGGAGCTGCTGCCCTACACGTGCTGATGTCATTCTGCTCTTCAACCATGCAGGACCAACAGGTAGGCTCAAGTCACACTGCTCAACTTGAGCTCATCAGCAAGGACCCCCACCCAACCTCCTGTTGGGGAGGAGGGCCTCTCCAGTCCAACTGGTGCGCTTGTGCACCACGTGACGCAGTCTATCACCTGTCAACGCAACCTCCATCCACAATGGGAGCAGTTAGGTTTGGATATAAAAGAACCAAATACCTAAAAACAGAAGACTCTGTAGGTATTCTTTCCCAGTAACTCCCTTCGCAATAAAAGGGGAGAAACTCCTCTTTGAATACCTGAACCGTAAATTTCTACTGTGGATTCCACATTCCCACCCAAAGTAGACAAGAGAAATTGGCACAGAGCTTACACCTATTATAAGGAAGTGCAGGAGCACACAGCTACAGAAACAAACTCCAAATATGCAGGAAGAAGAAAGGATACCATCAGGTGACTAAAAATCAAGGCAGAGCCCCTAAGACACAGGAGAAATCAGGAAATGCCTCCCCCTCAAAGGATCATAACTCCCCATTAACAATGCAAAAACACAAAAGATCACAGAAACGTCAGAAAAAGAATTTGGAATATTCATCGTAGTAATACTTAACAAGTTGCAAGAGAAAACAGAGAACCAATTCCGGGAGATGAGAAAATCCTTAAAGGAGGAATTTGACTTGAGGGAGGAACTCTATAAAGGGACAGACACACAGAATAAGAATCAAACAGGATTTCTGGAGATAAAGAATACAATGAAGGAAATCAAAACCTCCCTCAAAAAAAATCAACAGCAGGTTAGACCGTGCTGAAGAATGTCTGACCTTGAAGACAAAACCTCTGGTTTAGTACAAACAAAAGAAAAGAATAGAAGAATAACCATTAAAAATTAGGACAATATATGGGAAATCCTAGACATTATTTTTTTGACAGTTTTGTTTTTGTTTTGTCATAGGGCACATGCGCTCATCAGAAATCACCCCCCAGAAGGGATGGCCATACCAAAATCCCTTCTCTCAGGATTTTGGGCATGCACACATACATACCCCGTGTAAGTTTCAAGCCATCAGCTTTGGGATTGGAACCATGGTCGGTCATGTGACAGTCCAGCACAGTAACCACTGTGGGCAGCTTGGATGTGGGGGCTTGGACGCCACACCACGGTTGGCTGATGTAACCCAGATCTAGTCTGTCATCAGACCTGCACTGCACTCAGATCTAACCTGGATGTAGCACATGTGCTCTACTCTGCACATGGCGCTCTACTCTGCCAAGATGTGTTTTACCCTGCACACGGGACTCTACTTGCACACATCATCAGATGTTACATGGCACACAAGTCTGCTCTCCCCCTAAACCTTTAGGACTCTTTCTACCTCTAAGACACTCCCCCTTCCTGTACCCTTATAAAAATCGCTAAACCCCAACCTAGGATGTGACTTCTCTGGCCCTCTCTCTCTCTGTCGGACCAGCGAACTTCGTCCAGGAATGCTCCCAATAAAGGCTCTACATTTCAATTTTCTCACATGCTTGGCCCATTCCTTACAACCACTACTCCACCAGCTGGCCCCCCAGACACTTAAATTTCTGAACATCCACATAATAGTATTCCAGAAGGTGAAGAAACAGGTAAAGGCAAACACCTCTTATAATATATTAGCAGAAAACTTTCCAAATTTAGAGGCATGTGGACATCCAAATCCAGGAGATAGCAAGGACGCCAAATAGGGGCTAGCAGATGGCGTGGTAGCTAAGGGTGCTGGACTCTCACATGGCCAACTGAAGTTCGAGTCCCAGACCTGTGGCTTGCTTTCTCATTTTCTCTCTCTCCCTCTCTCTGGTCAAATTAAAATTAATTAATAAGTAAAGTTAAATAAAATAATTTTTGAAAAAGAAAAAGGACACCAAATAGCTTTAACTTAAGATCCTCTCCAACGCATATCATAGCCAAATTGGTAAAAATCAAAGACAAAATTCTTTTTTTTTGTTTTGTTTTGTTTTTGGAGAGGTTTTTGCTATAGGGCGCGTGTGCTTGCCAGACAGACAGAGACAGACAGAGAGACAGAAAGCGAGAGATCACCCCCCAAGGGGGATGGCCATGCTGCAATCCCTTCTTCATTCTCCTCTCAGGATCTTGGGCACATACGCACACGCGCCTGGCGTGAGTTTTAAGCCACCTGGTCCGGGACGTGAACGACGGTCGACTACGTGGGAGTCCAGCAACATAGCCATTATGCTAACTGCTGGTCCCAAAGACAAAATTCTAAAAATGGTAAGAGAGAAATGCCAAGTTACTTACAAATGTTACCCCATTAGAGTAATATCTGATCTATCACCTGAAACAATGCATACAAAGAAAGAATGGGAAGACATATTTAAAACTCTGAAAGAAAAGCAATTTCAGCCAAGAGTACTATACCCAGCAGGATTATCTTTCAAATGGGAAGAATAAATAAAATCATTCTGAGATAAACAAACACTGAAAGAAATCACCAAAACAAAATGGGCTCTTCAAGAAATACTTAAGGGACTAACTACATCAGAAAAGGTAAAGAGAAATAAATAGAAGAGAACACAAACCAACTAGAAAAAAAAAGGTAAGTCTACACATATTGATAATAACACTGACTATCAGGACTAAATGCAGATTCAACTGTTTTACACACAAGCAGGTTTAAATACAAATTCACCAATTATTTTATAGACAATTATCTTCATTGATTTCAATCTATAATTTATTATAACCATTACTTATTGTATTAAACTAGATAATAGAGGAAAAGACCAAAATGTTATAGCTGAGTTTTTCCTTGGAATGAATTTTTAAAAAGGCTAAAATCAAGAACTTTTTAAAGTCTAGAAATCACCAAATAGCTTTACTATGTCTTCACTTTTAAACATCACTTTCCAATTTTGTTTTATCTTTGCATTTTCAAGGACTTCTTTTTTTTTTTCTTCCAGAGAGGTTTTTGCTATAGGGCGCGTGCACTCGCCAGAAAGACAGAGAGAGACAGAGAGACAGAAAGCAAGAAATCACCCCCCCGGGGGGATGGACACACCACAGTCCCTTCTCCTCCACTCTCCTCTAGGGATCTTGGGCACACACGCACACGTGCTGGCGTGAGTTTAAGCCACTGGGTCCAGGACGCGAACCACAGTCGACTACATGAGAGTCCAGCGACTTAGCCATTATGCTAACTGCTGGTCCCAAGCTCTTATTTCTTTATGAACAGTACAAATTATGGCCTTACGATAACTCACAGTTTGTGAGTACAAGCATTCTTTTTCTATCTCTATCTAAGAGCTATTGTATTGTTAGATACAATTTTACCTACCTCGAACTGGACCGATAATTGATAGAAACCAATTTTTTCAAATTATAAAATCTTACCTCCCACAGTCCTCTACACGAAAATTATAAATTCTTCTTTCACTGGCTATGCAAAAGATCATCTTTGTTAATTTATGAGAGTGCTTATCACCTGACTTTTTAAAAGAATTATTTATTTTATTTAATTAATTTATTATTTTCATTTTTTAATTCACCAGAGAGAGCGAGAGAGAGAGAGAGAAAGTGAGAAAGCAAGCTGCTAGGTCTACTGTCAAATCACAGTCAGTCAAGTGGGAGTTATAAGTGCCTCAACGACCACGCCACCTGCGGGACCCTGTTGCCTGATTTTTAATATGTTCTTTCAGACTTTATCTCACAGTAAAGAATGTCATAGACAATTTAGTACACATTTGCAGAATAATCATTGGACCAGGTTTTGAATGTTCACAACCTAATGTTAAATGTTACAGGTGGTAAATATGTTTATATCCTCAATTTGTTTATTACACACTGTATACATGTTTTAAAGACCATTCTGTACCCTACGAAGATGTATAATAATTATACATAAGTCATAAATTACAGTAAATATTTAAAGAGAAAAAATAATTTTCTGATCATAAAAAAGCAATAAATAATATTCACATTAACTTTTTAGGACCTAAATTTCATATTTAGTTTTCTAAGTCACTTTTTAAAAATCTCACTTACCCTTCTAGTGTTTTCAAGGATTTTGGGATCAGGTTTTCCATAGTTAGGTGGATTGGCATAAGGGTCATACCCAAGTTTGGCAAGCATGGGTGCGATCACTGCCATGTCTTGTAAGACATCTGGAGGTATTTTTCCAACCCATTTTGATAGCGCTCCCACATTGACTGGCTTGATGACTTGGTCTGTAGATCTCTCCACTCTGAAAACAACATAATGTGAATAAATATTTTTTAAATAGTGTTAAAAAAACTTAAATTATTTTTAACAACTTTAAAAACTGTAATCATTTGGATTATAAAGCAAATGAGAAAGTGATCACTAATCAGGCTTAACATTATGTACAGACTTTTAAAAAAATAATTTCAGTTTGATAGTGACTATTGACAACCTTAGATTTTTAGAAATAGGAAAAAGAGTCAGCTGAAAACATCTACATAAAATGTGTTTGACACTTCAATTACAACACCTAGAAAAAAAAACAATAAACAAAGGTTAACAGTGATTAGAAAAACTTCCTGTCAAGTTATTTGAGATGTATTTAAAAAAATTGAAAAGATGGCTTGCTGAGTGACTAGAGGGACAAACAGAGAACACATGTGATGTGGCAAATATAGTAAAATGTTAATCGTGGAATCTAGCTGGTAGATATAATTCTTTCAATTCTTGTTTATGCTTGAAATTTTTCATAATAAACACTGGGCTAAAATCAGACAATCATAAATCACTAAGAATGCAAGATTTCCACTTGTTCTATTTTTCCTTTGACTTCCTAAACAAGAATCCTATTTTCCATCAAAGAAAAGAAGTTATGTTTATAATCTTCAATATTTGTAGGATAAATGTGTTCTACACATTTATTCTAGAAATTTGCTTTAGGCCTGTAATGATCGTTCACACTATATTTGCCCAAATAGTAACCATAGGATAAAACAGAATATGAAATAATGACTGGATTTAAATTGAATCTGAAGGGCCAGGAGGTGGCACAGGGGTTAAAGTGTTGGACTCCCATTTGGCTGACCGTGACTTGAGTCCTTCACCTGGCAGCTTGCTTTCACATTTTCCCTCACTCTCTCTCTCTGTCTCTCTCTGGTGAGCATACATGTCCTGTAGCAAATTAAATAATAATAATAATGAAAAATAAAATTAAATATTAAAAAAAATTGAATCTGAATTAGGTTTTTAGAAAATTATTTTTATTTAACTTTATTTTATTTTTTAAATTTTATTTTAATTTGACCCAAGAGGGACAGAGTAAGAGAGAGAGAGAGAGAGAAAGTGAGAAAACAAGCCTCCAGGTCCAGGACTCCAACTGTGATTGACCATGTGGAAGTCCAGTGCCCTTAACCACCACACCACCTGACGGCCCCAATCTGGATTAGATTTTGACCAAATGACTATAAAACAGAAGTACTATGGAGAATTTCATATTCTAATTCTTAATTCTGTATTAAGTATTTGAGTCACTAAGAGAGTCTTGTATATCATGACTGAAACTCTGGCTTTTACCTTGAAAATTATGATAACTGAAGGGTTTTAATAATAGTACTGTTATGACCAGATTATTATTAGTATTCAGTACTGATAACAATGGAAAGAGTAGGCCAAAGGATGGGACAAATGACGTCAGGAAAACCATGAAGATAGTCAAATATATATTGGAAGAGTTAAGAAACAAGGCTTCAGAGCAGTGTGAAGAAGAGAGAGCAACCTCCAGACCCACCAAAGCCTGTGCGCCGCTGCATCCCCCGCGTCCAGTGCCTACATCCCGCCGTCGTCACCACCATGCCCAAGAGAAAGGCTGAAGGGGATGCTAAAGGAGATAAAGCCAAGGTGAAGGACGAACAACAGAGAAGATCTGCAAAGTTGTCTGCAAAACCTGCTCCTCCAAAGTCAGAGCCCAAGCCTAAAAAGGCCCCTGCAAAGAAGGGAGAGAAGGTGCCCCAAGGAACAAAGGGAAAAGCTGATGCTGGCAAGGATGGGAACAACCCTGCAGAAAATGGAGATGCCAACACAGACCAGGAACAGAAAGCTGAAGGTGCTGGAGATGCCAAGTGAAGTGTGTGCATTTTTGATAACTGTGTACTTCTGGTGACTGTACAGTTTGAAATACTATTTTTTATCAAGTTTTATAAAAACGCAGAATTTCGTTTTACCTTTTTTTTTAAGCTATGTTGTTAGCACACAGAACACTTCATTGGTTTTTTGGGGAAGGGGCACTTGTCACTAATAGAATGTCTCTGAAGCTGGATTGATTTGGACATCTTTCCCTTCTAGTTTTGAGAGACTTCCTCTTGGCTCTGGAGAGGAGGGATTCCCTGACACGCAGCCACCTTCACAGATGCCTTGTGGTGTGGAAAACTTAACATTTGCTTTTACGTCCTCTCCCTCTCTGCCTTCAGCATAAACTTAACTCTCTTTTTTTTTTTTTTATTGAGAGGTTTTTGCTACAGGGCGCGTGCTCTCGCCAGACAGACAGAGACAGACAGAGAGACAGAATCCCCCCCCAGGGGGGATGGTCACGCCGCAATCCCTTCTCCTCCATTCTCCTCTCAGGATCTTGGGCACACACGCACACGCATCCAGCGTGAGTTTTAAGCCACCAGGTCCGGGACGCGAACCACGGTCGACTACGTGGGAGTCCAGCGACATAGCCCTTACGCTAACTGCTGGTTCCCATAAACTTAACTCCCTTTAACCAGAGACCTGTGGGGACCTGACCACAGAAAATTGGTTATGCCACTATGTCAGGCAATCCGGACTTTCCAATGACATTGAGATGGCATCCTTCAAAAGAGCAGCAGCTCCTTTTCTTATTGTTGGATCTTTAGGTCGATAATTCTGCCATTTTCATTTCCCAAAAGTCAGGATCGGCTCGTGAAAAGTTGTTAAACATGCTAAATATGAAATGTCAATCCTCACTCTAAACTTTCCCTATTGAGAGCGTAATAAAGCTGGATACAGTTTGGCTTGGAAATAAAAAAGAAACAAGGCTTCAACAAGATCAAATAAAATATAGAGAAGACAAATTCCAAAAATATTTTTTAAAGCTGAGAAGACTTAGTAGCCAATTATTAATAGATATGGGACACAAGGAGGAAAGAAAGGAGTTTATGAATAACTCATATTTGACTTGAAGGGCTAGATGAATCCTTCATTACAATAGACAGTATGGAGGAAAAGCATGTGTCTGTGTTTTGTTTTTGTTTTTGTTTTTGTTTTAATTTTAAAGTATTTGTAAAGTTGGGGAACCAGCAGTTAGCGTAATGGCTATGTCGCTGGACTCCCACGTAGTCGACCGCGGTTCGCGTCCTGGACCCAGTGGCTTAAAACTCACGCCGGGCACGTGTGTGTGCATGCCCAAGATCCTGAGAGGAGATTGGAGGAGAAGGGATTGCAGCATGACCATCCCCCCTGGGGAGTGATTTCTCGCTTTCTGTCTCTATGTTTCTCTCTGTTTGTCTGGTGAGCGCACGCGCCCTATAGTGAAAATCTCTCCAAAAAAAAAGTATTTGTAAAGTTGCATATTTTTTCCTAAGGTTTTTACCATAGGGTACATATGCTTGCTGGAGAGAGACAGAGAGAGACAGTGAGAGGGAACGTGAAAAATTGCCCCCCCAGGGGGGATGGCAATGCCCCAATCTCTTCTCCTCCATGCTCTGCCTGCATGTACATGTGCCCAATGTGAGTTTCAAGCTGCCAGGTCCAGAACTCAAATCGCAGTCAGCCATGTGGGAGTTCTGCACCTTAACCACTATGTCACCTGCTGATCCCCTATGGGTTTTTTATGTTGCTTTTTATGTTGCTTTGTTCCAATTGAGGGATAGAGAACAAAGAAAAAAAAATAGACAGTATTCAGGAAGTTACCAAAAGTCTAGAGAAAAAAATCAGAGTTGACTGGAATATAGTAGTACCTGTTCAATAAACAACAGATATTATTTCACATCAGCACTAATTCATGAGAAAAGTGAAAGCCATTATTTGTTTTCTTTTTGCTTACTATATTAAACTGCCAAAGGATACACGTACTTGCCAGAGACAGAGAGGGAGTGGGCAAGAGCACTTTCCAACAGAGCATGGTCACTGCAAACCCTTCTCCATTTCTCTATCCTGTCAGGATTCTGGGTACCCACACACAAAAACCAAGTGTGTTTTTCAAGCCACCAAAGCAGAGTCTCAAATCATGGTTGGCCATGTGGGATTTGGTTCCCTTAACCACTAGGCCATGATTAATTATTATGATTGAATAAGTTATTTAAAGATTATTCTGGGGACCAGCAGATGGCGTAATGGTTAAGTCACTGGACTCCCAAGTAGTTAACCGCAGTTCAAGTTCTGGACCCAACAGCTTAAATTCTCACCGAGCCATGTGTGCGTACATGCCCAAGATCCCAAGAGGAGAATGATGGAGGAGAAGTGATTGTGACATGGTCATTCCCCACTGGGGGGGTGATTTTTTCTGTCTCTCTGTCTCTGTCTTTCCAGTACTGCATGCACCCTATAGCAAAAATCTCTCTTAAAAAAAATAAATAAATAAAGATTGTTCTGTCTGGGTCAGCAGGTGGTGTGGTGGTCAAGGTGCTGAACTCCACATGTCTGACTGCAGTTCAAATCTTGGACTTGGAGGCTTGAAAATCACACCAAGCGTGTGTGCACGTGTGCCCAAAATTCCAGAAGAAGAATGGAGAAGAAAGGGACTGCAGCTTGGTCATCCCTCTGGGAGATGATTTCTCACTTTCCCTCTCTCTCTGGTGAGTGCATTCACCCTATGGCAAAAACCTTAAACAATTAATTCATTAAAAAAAAGATTATTCTGTCTAAAAGAGACATAACTCTAAAATGAATGAATTTGGAAAGGCTTTTGTTACGTAATCACTGAATCACAAATCCATTAGCAGTAAATGCAGTTACAAAGGCCTCCACAGGGAACAATATAGAACTACTGTGTATCAGTGTGATATTTCTTTAAAATCAGTAGAAATGACATTTTCAAGACCAGATGGTGGTAGCCTCTCTATGAGGCTGACCTCTGTGGGAAGGTTGCAGGTTTGTGTCTGAAGACCTTTCTGAACATGCCCGGTGCATGCATACCCATTATACAGGGTTACTGATGCTGGTGGAATAGCAGCATTAAAACCCTGTTGGGGATTCCTCTCTCTCTTCCTCATGACTTGAAGACTGTCGGCAATGTCTTTCTTA